CAAATTGACTACATCTGTGGAAAGAGAAGATGGAAAAGCTCCATATCATCAGTGAAGACAAGGCCAGGGGCAGACTGTGGAACAGACCATCAATTACTAATATGCAAATTTAAACTGAAGCTGAAGAAAATGAAAACAAGTCTATGAGAGCCAAAATATGACCTTTAATTTATCCCACCTGAATTTGGAGGTCTTTTTAGTATAGATGAGGCTTTCTACTCCTGTAAAGATTTACACCCTCGGAAACCTTGTACAGGGTCGCTATGTGTCAGAACCGACTCAACGGCACTTAATAACAACATTAGTATAGAGGAGTCAAACTTTTTTGTTTATTGATCTTGTACTCTGCCACTTTGCTGATTCTTCCAATGGGTTCTAATAGTTTTTCTTGCTAAGTTTTTGGTACTTTCTTTGTTTAGGATCATATCATCTGCAAAAGAGTTTTACTTCTTCTTTGTCAATTTGGATGCCTTTTAATTTGCATTTCTTATCTCTGGCTAAGACTTTCAAAACAATTTTGGGTAGAAGTAGTGATAAAGGGAATCCTTGTCTGGTTCCTGTTTGCAAAAGGCAATAGTTTCAGTTTCTGTGCATTGAGAGTGATTTTGGCTGTTGATTTAGTATATATGCTTTTACTTATGTTTGTGGAATTTCCCTTCAATTCCTACTTTTTTGAGTGTTTTTATTAAGAATGGGTTTTGGATTATGTCAAATGCCTTTTCTGTAGCTATCTATGTTATATAATCATGTGGTTTTTTTTTTTTTCATTTTTTAAATTTATATGGTGGATTATGCTGATTTCCTTTGTAATATTGGATCATTCTTGCATCCCTGGTATGCATTCCACTTGGTATGATGTATAATTTTTTTGATATGTTGTTGAATTCTATTGGCTAGGATTTCATTGAGATTTTTAGCATCTATGTTCATGAGGGATATTATTTTCTCTGTTTTTTTTTTTTTTGTTTGTTTTAGTGATGTTCTTGCTTGTTTTGGTATGAGGATTATGCTTGCTTCATAAAATGTATTAGGAAGTTTTCCATCTTTTTCTGTATTCTGGAATAGTTTGAATAAAATTGGTGTCAGTTCGTTTCAGACTGTTTGGTAAAATTCACCAGCAAAGAATCTGGGCTTAGACTTTTGTTTTTGGTTGGGGATTTTTCGATGACCTCATCAGTTTATTCTTTTGTTATAGGTCTGTTCAAGTTTTCTATTTCACTCTGTGTTAGTTTAGGTGGGTTGTGTTTTTCTAACAATGTATCCATTTCCTCTAGATTTTCAAATTTTTAGAGTACAACTTTCCATAGTATTCTGTTATTAGCCATTTTTACCCCAACGGTTCTGTTGTGATGTCAGTCAGGTTGTTTCTTATGTATGTTATTTGCATCATCTCCCTCTTTTCTTTTGTTAGATTTGTCAGTGGTTTGTCAGTTTTATCAATCCTTCCAAAGAACCAGCTTGTTGTCTTGGTGATTCTTTCTGTTGTTTTTCTGTTTTCTGTTTCTTTTATTTCTACTGTAATCTTTATTTGTTCTTTTCTTCTGGTGACTGTAGGTTTACTTTGCTAGTCTTTTGCTAATTGTTTTAGATGTTTGTTAATGTATTGCTTTTGGTTCTTTCTTCTTACTAGATATGCTCATTTATTGCTATACGTTTTCCCCTCAACATTGCTTTTGTTGTGTCCAAAGGGTTTTAGTATGTTGTGTTTTCATTCTCATTTGTTTCTAGGAATGTTTTCATTTCAGTTTTAATTTGTTCTGCTCCCCAGTAGCTTTTAAGCAGGGTGTGATTCAGTTTCCTTGTATTCAGTTTTATTTCCTTGATCTTCCTATTGTTGATTTCAAATTTTATAGCTTTGTAATCTGAGAAGATGCTTTGTAGTATTTTGATATTTGTAAATTTATGGAGACTTGTTTTGTGGCCTAAAACATGTTCCATTCTAGAGAATGTTTTATGTGCACTAGATTAGAATGTTTATTGTGTTGTTGTTGGGTTGAATGCTCTGTACAAATCTTTGCGGTCAAGCTGATTGATTGTGTTGTTTAGTTCATATGTGTCTTTGTTAGGTTTCTTTCTGTTTGTTCTGTTCTTTTTTGAAGTGATGTATTGAAATCTCCCACCATTAGTGTAGAGTTGTCTATTTCCTCAGTTCAATTAGAGTTTGATTTATGTATTTTGAGCTATGTCCTCTTGTTCAGTTGATCTTTTAATCATGAAATTAATGCCCTTTTTTTGTCTCGTATGCTCATTTCTGCCTTAAAGTTTCTTTTATCAGAGATTAATATTACCACTCTTGCTTGTTTTTGACTGCAATTAACAAGCCCAGTGTTGGCCTGGCCCAATTTGGAAGAGACTGCTGATGCCAGCTCTTTCTGTTTTCTCTTCCTGCTTTTATGCACACAGCTGTGGGATCCACATGGGATGTTTCCTGGGGGTTGTCTGCTCATACAGAGCTCATGTCTGGTCACTAGAGGAGAAATGAGTCAGAAGAGAAAAAGAAAAGAAAAAGAAAAAATTAATAATTGCATCTTTGTCTCTGTAAATTGTAGGCAGGCTTCTGCAACAGGAATGCTTTCTAGTCTCTTAGTCCACTCATTCTTATGCAAAGTGGATGCCTCAAATCTGAAGTCACCTCCTTTCTTGCTTCTGTTCAAATTCTCCTAGTAAGCACTCGAACCACTCATTTATCACTTTGTCTGAAGCTCAGCGTTTCGGGACTGTCCTCTGAATCTGTTTCATCTGATTTTCCATGTTTTTGCTGAAGAGGGTCTGAACAGCCTTTCTTCCTGTTCTGCCTTCAAGCCCCACCTCTGCCTTCAAGAAAACTCTTGAAATACTCTTTTAGACAATGGATGTGGTGACATTTCTCTTCAATTTGTCATTCTTTGCATAGTAAATCACATGATTATCTAATTTAAAAATGCCAATACCAATTAATTTTAGCTCACTAATGCCTAGTGTGGTGTTGTGGGTTAATGTGTCAGACTACAAAGTCATTTGAACTGCAAGGTTGGTGGTTCAAGCTCACCAGCTGCTCCTTAGAAACCCTATACAGGGTTACTATGGGTCGGAACGACTCTATGGCACTTAGCAACAACAAACAACAACAGTGCCTAGTAATGTTGATGTGGTGCTGCAGGATAATGGACTGGACTGCAAGGTTGGTTTGATCTGTAAGGTTGGCAGTATAAACCCACCAAGAAATCTAGACAAGGAAACCCTAGACAAGGGGCACTGTGAGTCAGAACCAACTCGATGGCACTCAACCACAATGCCTAGGTTATCAGTCTTTATGCATTCAATTTCATTTTTGAAAAGTTCCAATATTCCTAGAGGCTTACTTCATGCATTCCATGTCCTGATAATTAGTCTATATTTGCAGATGTTCCTCCTCATTTTGAGTTGTTCACTATCAGCAAATGAAGTCCTGCTTTATAGTCATTATAGTCAGCTTTATTCTGAGGAAGTCAGTCTTCCACCCTGAGGGACTCATTTTCTGACAATGTTCCACTGTTATTCACAAAGTTTTCAGTACTTAACCATTCAGAACTGGTTCACCTCTCTTTTGTTCTAGTCTGGAAGCGCCTCTGAAACCTGTCCATCGTGGGTATTCCAACTAGTATTTAAAATACCAGTGTCATAGCTTCTAGAATCTCAGCAACACACAAGCCACCACAGTATGACAAATTGACAGGAGAATGGTGAAGAAAGCACTAGAGAGAGTTTTAAACATATACTGTGGTGGTATCCATAGTAAATCCTGGAAGTAACCTCAGTAAGATACACAAAATAAAATAAATGGAGGAAAGAATTTTCTTTTCTCGTTTTCACATCCTCTGTAATCTCGACATAGTTTAAGTTCCCAAGTAGTTACAGGTAGACCTGAATGACTTTTATCCTCAAAGATTGTATTGTGAGATTAGTGAAGACTCACAAATGGTCAACAGTTGACAATGTGTTTCAAATGTTATCGACATTTGGAGGAAATGATAATGAAGAGCAATTTCCCAAACTTGAGTTATTTTCCTATGTCATATCTGCTTATCATGTCCTTTACCTATTTATTTAAATAGATGTAATATTCCTTCTTACTGGCATTTATTTTGAAACCAAGTTTTATCATTGCCTCAAAGGAAAATCTTTACCATTTGCCATAAATAGAAGCCAGTTAAAAATAAACCGAATAAAGGCAAAACAATATTACTAAATTCTCTCTGAATAGGTTGTCTGCTTATGGTTGTCTTTGATCAAAATATATACCAGCAGTAGCACCAAATTAAGACTATATATATATATATATATATATATTTAGTATACCTTGATATAAACAGAAGATTGAAAAATAATTTGAAAGGGACTGAGTTTTTCACCATGTGAGCTAATGATGTCCTTTTGTGTTACGTCTGTTTTACTCATAATCACTGACATGAATCTCACAAATTGGAAAATGCCATTCTAGAGCATGCTCTGATTAATTTGACAAGTGGAATTCTTATTATGTATCTAATATCTGTAGAGTTACATGCTGAATCTCTAGTGAAAACTAAAACACATTCCTAAGTGCTCATCTTCTTATCAAAAGGTTGATGGTTTGAACTCAACCAGAGCCACTTCAGAAGAAAGTCCTGGCAATCTTCTGAAAGGTCACGGTCATGAAAATCCTAGGATACACAATTTGTCTGTTACACATGGAGTCTCTGTGATTTAGGGCCTACATGATGGCAGTGGTGTTTTTGGAGGCCATTTATCATTAGCTTTCTACTTTGCTTTTAATATGTTATTAGCTAATAGACAACCCTGTATATCTACTAATCAGAAATATTAGCACCAAGTGTAAAATATCCTAAGGAGAGTTCCAGAAACATCTCCATTCTTGGGATAGTGAGTCCTTTAAAATATGTACTGACCTTGATCTTTTACCATCTCAACTTTTTTCAAATTAGGTTTAACCCAGAAGAATGTAACTAAAAAATATGATTTCCCTATACCTTTGAATGAAGCTTCTAAAATAATGAAGACGAACAAGAAAGAGGTATATTATTGTAAGGGGAATGAGTAATATTTGAAATTTAGATCTTCCTTTCTAAATACTTATGTGTGAAGATACCGAAGACAGTGAAAATAATTCCATCTTTTGAATAATTTAATTTATTGAAATGAGAAAACAGAAGTAATTTAGCAGAAATGGAACTTGGTTTGGAAATATTTATGAACCATAAAGAATCATCATTCCAGTGTTTGAAGGCACAAAACACATTTTAATCAAAATGCAACCCACTGGAAGATTTTTCAAAGCATGATATATGTTACATAGAATTTGACAAATTGTGATAGGTAATGCAGTATAACAGGAAAACCATGGATTTAACTGAAAAGAATAATGAATCCATATTGTGTCAGACAAGAAATGCATACTAAGTTTCTTGCTAGAAACTGACAAGGATATTTACTGCTGAATCATTTTCACTGCTGGTGGTCAAATGTCATGTTAATTTGAATGTTTTAAAAATATTCACATTCAGTTGTTCTCCTTATCTTTGACTACCAATTACATATTTTTGTACTTTGGTTTAAAGAAATTAATTGATAATAGCACATAAACTTGTATTATCTTTATTGTATTGTCTGACTTATAATTCATACACAATATACATAATCCATATATTGTATACTATAAACATAGTGTAAAATTGCCTTATGGTGACTAACCCTTTTTAGCATATATATTTGGGTGAGCATCTAATCATCTGACTGTACTAAGAAACTCTTATTCCATAAACCAGTTTCTCCTGAATTTGGAAACAAAAGAGCAATAGCCAATATTTAATTTAAAACTACTATATGCTAGACACTGGGTTAAGTGCTTATTAATTCCAATAATGAAGTATATTAAGTTATTCTTAGATGAGACGTAAAATAAACTTGTCCAATGTCAAACAACTGGTAAGTGGCAAAGCCAGAATTTGAACCTAGAATTTGATACCATAGTCCTCATTCTTTCAACTCTAGTATAGGATCCTACTCAAGGGCCTGTGTATATTGGTGTTCTACAGTAATTTTGCTTTAATATGTCCTAGGAGAAATACTTAATTTTTACTAGAAAAAATACATTAAAAAAATCAAGGCATTGCTTCATAGATTTAGATATTGAAATACGAATGGGGTTCAAAAAGCTCATGGAAAAATGGAATTAAAAGATAGGGGAAATTTTCCATGAACTTTTTTAAGTCCCCTGTAGAAATTCACTCTTTATTACATTCCAAAGCAAAATGGAATGTGTTGAAACTATTTAGGGAGGACTGTGTAAACACTGCTTTTGAAAGAAAATTCATCCAAGAACTAATTTGAATATTACAAGAAAGTTGGAAAAAGAGATCAGAGAACTCAATTTTCATGGGGAAACTGTTCCATTTAGGCTTTAGTTCTCTTAAGTTCTAAAATTGCTTTATAATGATTATATCCACTGACATGCAACTCAGTTGAGTCACTCACAATTGCCTCCATCAAAATGTGTACCTATTTTTCTGCTCAATGTTCCTTAACTGTGCATATCTTTTAAAGATTTCAGTATGGAATGGAGTATACAAAGTCATTTGTAGAATGCTTGAAGAAAATGAAAAATACAGACTCAGACTGAATTCCCAACGATTATCTAATAAAAGTAAGTGAGCATAATTTTTATTGTATTAAAGAAGACTGGCTTCTAGAACAGTTTAGTTACCCTTACATTGTTTTAGACTGGTAGGTTTTCTAATTGTCATGCTCAATATACAGAGCTCTAGAAATGTGACTACCCTATTATCACTGCTATCATAATGAAAAGTACAAATCATTTTACTGTATAGTGTAGAATGGATGGCAGGTATAGGTGTGAATGAAGAAGTGTAGAAGCTGCCTTCAGTGTACTGGGCAAAGGGAAAATACTTATCTATTAAATGTGAATTTTAATGCCAACTTTTGAGTAAAAATGATGAAACTCATTCATATTGATGAGGGAAACCACTTTTGCTGCAGTATAAAATGATAAATTTGGTATCACATCAAATAGTTGCTTCCTCCACATGCATGCTGTAGTCCAATTAATGCATTTAACACAATCTGCCCTTGAGTTATGGCCCTGCTGTCTCATTTCATTCCTTGAGAAACAACTCAGTCATTAAATATGCTGTGTTCTGAAGCTGCATCAAGATAGAGTTGTTGTGACCAAAGCAAACTTAAATGCTATGTAGTTTGATTATTAAAATGGTCGGAAGTTCTGAATTCTCAAAAAATTATGTTGGATAAGATTTATGTAACTAAAAGTGCTACATAATTTGGTAAATCTTAATAGTTATTTTCATTGTGTCACAGGTATAGCCTAATAATGCATATACCACCACAATGAATGAGTGCTGCTTTGGGTTCTTAGTGCAGTCACTTGAAAATAACTTTGATGTGGCAGTCAGTCAGTGTACATTATATTAATCTTGTGAAGACTATGCTTGTCATAATGAAAACAATGCCATTTTGTAAGCAGCATGACACTGGAAACTCATTACTGTTCTTCACGTTGCACAGTAATGGTATAACTTATTTGCAATGACGTCATGCAAACCAATGTTCAGATTAATAATATTCTATTTCCCTTTCTGATGTGGCACTGTGGGTTAATGTGTCAGACTGCAAAGTCGTTTGAACTGCAAGGTGGGTAGTTCAAGCTCACTGGCTGCTCCTTGGAAATCCTTTACCAGGTTGCTATGGGTCGGAGTAGACTCGATAGCACTTAACAACAACAACACTTCCCTTTCTTATCCAGTTTTATATGTGAGTGAGAAGAAGATTCATTTTTAAGATGGCAAATTAGGCAGAAGGTAGGACTAGGATCAAGCAAAGCAGTCAGTGGTTTTTCAAATGAAAAGGACAAGAGCAATGTACAAAAAACCCCTGGACATTAGTATTTTCAGTGGAATCCAAAGCAATGCATGCCTTTAAACTTGTCTTCTGGGCCTCAGCAAATGACCTATTATTAAGCATACTCATAAAGTGATCCTGTAGGATTACTTAACAATTTAAAAGTAACAATTTCCAGTAATAACATAAACAAAAGACATCTTTTTATTTCATTATTTTGTGTTACAATTTTAAAATAGATTACAAAACCATTTTTAAAAAGCCTAGTTAATTATATTCTAAAAAGATGTTAAAATGTTTATTTCTTAATATATACTTACTAAAGGGAAAAACTAGTGCTAGAAGTTGACCTAAATTTTCCTTGTTTTTTATGCTGTTTGTAGACTCAAATTCCACAAGATGAACCTTATCTTCTACTGGTAAGAATCCATTTTGTTAGCCATTATAAAGTATAGTCTTTTTTAAACTTTATTATTTTTTTTCCATACAACTTTCTTCAACTTTTTATTGGATATTGTTGTTGATATTTGCCATTGCGTCATTTCTGACTCCAGTGACCCCATGTAACAAAATGTTGCCCAGTCCTGTGCCATTTTCACAATTGATGTTGTTTGAGCCCATTGTTACAGCCAGTGTGTCATCAGTCCATGTCACTGAGGGCCTTCCTCCTTAGTGGGTTGTTGTTATTGCTGTTGTGTGCCTGTATAGAGTTTCTGCGAGTTTGAATTTCTGACCTTGTGGTTTAACAGTCCAGTACTTATCCTGTTAATTCAACTCCTTGCTGCTAAGTCTTTTCTTCCTAAAACCCAGTGCTTGGAGCAAAGTTGTTCATTGCCATCAAATCAGCTCAGATTCATGGCATCCTTATACCTAACAGAATGAAATATTGTCTAGTCCTGTCCCACTTTTCATGAGTGTTGGTATGTCTGAGTTTATTGCTGTGAGTATTGAACTCATTATTATTGTAAGCTCTGGTAGCGTAGTGGTTACGAATCGGGCTACGAACCTTAAGGTCAGCGGTTCAAAACTACCAGCTGCTCCGCTGGAGAAAGATGAGGCATTCTACTCCCATAAAGATTTACACCCTCGGAAACCCTGTACAGGGTCACTATGGGTCGGAACCGACTCGACAGCACATAACAACAACAAAAACCTAGCATGATGTCCTTTTCTAGCAATTGATCATGGTGGTGGTGATTATGTGCTTTGGAGTCGATTCCAACTCACAGAGACACTGTACAGGTTTTCCAAGGCTGTAAATCTTTATGTGAACAGCCTAGTCTTTCTCCCATGAAACAGCTAGTAGTTTCAAACTGATGACCTTGAGGTTCACAGCCCAATTTGTAACCACTATGCTACCAGAGTGTACCACTATGCTACCAGAGTAGCTCTGGTAGCGTAATGATTACGAATCGGGCTGCCAACCTCAGGGTCAGCAGTTCGAAACTACCAGTGGTTCCGTGTGAGAAAGATGAGGCTTTCTGCTCCCGTAAAGATTGACAGCCTCGGAATCCCTGTATAGGGTCGCTGTGAGTCAGAACCGACTCCACGGCACATAACAGCAACAACAACATGCTACCAGAGTAGGCATTCGTTAAATGTGCATTGAAATGAAAATTGCATTTGGGCTCAGTTTTCACCATGCTATTAAAATTGCTTTCTCCATAGCCTTAGGGTTTTTTCTTTTCTCTCTCTCCATGTTTCCATTTAGTTCTCTTTCTCTTTGAATATTCTGTCACATTTAATATTATTTTACTACTACTCTTTCAAGTAAACCCTTTTTAGTCTCCTATAGATAGACTACATCATAGTTTATATTTTTTTTTTCTGCCTCTCTGATCATATTTTCTGTTTGTCCATTTTGCTTCCACTTAATAACAAATGCTTCCTTAGAAATAATTGTTGGCCCTAGTCTTTCTTTACATATTTACTTTGATGTAATTCATCCATTTGTATAGCATCATTTACTCCTGGTTGTATGACTCTTAAATCTCTCTTTTACTTCTGACTTCTGGCTATGTATTTTTTACACTATTCTGTAGTTATCACTAAATACCACATGTTTTCAGGTTAGCATATTATCTTTACCATTTTGTATTTAATTATCCCCCTGGCTTACTAATCACCAGGGTTCATTCAATTCTTAGGAAGAGATTGTATCCAGTTTGATGGCATTTGGAGAGTATAATAGAAAAGGTAAGATAGGACTTGGAAAACAGACATTAGACTTAACTAAGTGGGAGTGTGAGGAAGGGAGTATATTTTAGAAAAGTACACAAATTCATGGAAATGAAGTCAATAAAATGTTTAGAGAATGTATATTTTAATTAACACATGAAGTTTGTTTAAGGTTGTCACAGTGAAGAAGGTATAAAAGTTTATTGACACTATATTTCAAAGAATCTCACTTGAATACTGGGCCAAGGAATTTTACTCAATTAAGTAGGAAATGCAGAAACATGACACACTTAGTTAACTTTTTTTTTGAAGTATGTCAAATGTACAGACAAGTTGAAAGAATAATACAAAGAACTGTTGTATGCTTTATATTCAGATTAACCGAATTTAAGTATTTTACCAATTTGCTTCATCATTTTCATTATCTCTTCCTTTGTGAATGTAATGCATAACCCTTTCACAGTAGATTGTATATACAAGAACAAGAATATCTTTTATATAATCAAATACTGTTGTTAGGTGCTGTCAGGTTGGTGCTAACTCAGCGAGCCTATGTATAACCGAAGAAAACATTGCCTGGTCCAGTGCCATCTTCACAATTGTTTGAACCCATTGTTGCAGCTATTGTGTCAATCCATCTCATAGATGCTCTTGTGTGCTGCTGTGATGCTAGAAGCTATGTCACTGACATTTTAAACATCAGCAAGGTCACCCATGGTACACAGGTTTCAGCTGGGCTTCTAGACTAAGACAGACTAGGAAGAAGAGGTAGCCTTCTTCTGAATGTTTAGTTACTGAAAACCTTATGAATAGCAGTGGAACACTCAGCATCAGAGTATCGAATATTGAAACACTTTGAGTAGTGTCAGAATATTGTCAGTTGTGGCACTATTGTCAGATCACCACTGCACTATGAAACACAAGGTCAGCAGTTCAAACTCACCAGCTGTTCCTCAGAAATCCTATAAAGGGTTGCTATGAATTGGAACCAACTCAATGGCGTTTAACAACAACAACAGCATAGTGCTGGAAAATGAGCCTCTCAAGTTGGAAGTCGCTTAGAATACTACTGTGGAAGAGCTGCCTTAAAGCAGAGTTGACCATGGTGATGTGAATAGAGTAAAGCTTTTGGGACCTTCATTTGCTGATGGGCACAACTCAAAATGAGAAGAAATAGCTGCAAACAATAATTGGAACATGGGATATATAAAGTATGAATCTAGGGCTGCTCCGCGGGAGAAAGATGAGGCGATCTGCTCCCGTAAAGATTTACAGCCTCGGAAACCCTATTCAGGGTCGCTATGGGTCGAAACCGACTCGACAGCACTTAACAACAACAACAACAACTAGGGATATTGGAAATTGTTAAAAATGAAATGCAGTACATAAAGATCAATAATAACCTAGGCATTAGTGAGCTGAAATAACTGGTGTTGGCCATTTTGAATCTGACATCACATGACAAATTGAGGAGAAATGGTGTCACATTCATCATCAAAATCTTTCAAGATCTGTTTTGAAGTATAATGTTATCTGTGATAGGGTAATATCCATACACTTACAAGGAAGGTCAGTTAATACCATTACTATTAAAATTTACGAACCAACCGCTAAAACTGGGGATGATGAGTTGAAGAATTCTGCCAACTTCTGTAGTCTGAAATTGATCAAACACACAATCAAGAAGTATTGATAGTTGCTGGTGATTGAAATGCAAAGGTTGGAAACAAGAGGAAGGATTGGTAGTTGGAAAATCTGGCCTTGGTGATTGAAATGATCCTGGAGATCACATGATAGACTTTTGCAAGACCAATGACTTATTTATTGCTAATACTTTTTTTTTTTTTTTTTTAAGGTTTTATTGTGGATTGAGTGAGAGTTTAAAAGGCAGACCATCAGTTTTACATTTACCAAATCATACACCTTGTTTCATTACAATGATTATAATCCCATCCATGTACCATCAGTTAACAGTATTTCTCTCTATCCACTTGAGCTTTTTTTAAAACAAAACAAAACAAAACACTCAGGTGTATATAATAATTTACATCTCCACAGGTCACATTCTGCAAGTCTGCCTTCTGGCCACCAGCTCTTAGTTCCTCTCTTCCCATAAATCTAGAGTTCTCAGCTGCTCCCCCTGTCCATGACCCCATCGCTGCCTACATCTCTGGCGTCGCTGCTTCTCTGGATAAGGTCCTGCATTCTGTTTGTGCGCTTCTCCCTTGATGATCCTAGGGTTCACTGTTTATGGATTGTAAGATTAACCACTCCCCTGTTTTTGTTACAAAAC